AGTTCTGGATTTTGTTACGTGTAAATATTTATTTTAGCAAAGTGAACAGCGAACTTAGGAACATATGTCATAGAAACTCCATTTGTTTCATGAAGTTGATGGATTGTCTTGTGAGAGTTGGAGGGAGAAGGTGCAAAAGAATGACTTTGTAAATACAGAGTAGTGTCTGACTGAGTCCACTCTGGGCATACCTAAAAGTTCTCCGCTCCCCCTTATGAATTGTTACTTTTACCTTCTCTTTTCTGGACTGCTGCCCGTATTGCCTCGGCTCTTCTAATGTAGTATACAAGAACAGCAGTACTGGTCCTAGAGCTGAATGAACATCTGGGTCTATTTGTGAATTTATGTCTATCTTTAAAATTAATTTTAATATATTGAATGCAATCTTTATTAAGGTGTTGCAGGTTCACTGTAGAAAATGACCTACCAGTAACCAGTCTTCTTATTTTTAACCCTGATTATGCTGTTGTTTAAACTAGATTTTCTTAAAATAGTAGCTGCTTTCTGACCTTCATTAAGATTAACTGCTTAGATAAGCAGAACTTGTTAACAAATTCACACCTTAGCAGCTCAGGTTTTGACTGTGAGGCTGATCTCTGTAGGGCATGTAATGATTTCAGGAAAACCACCAAATGTACTAAGTCTGTTACATGGGTAAAGAAAGAAATCTCTAAATGTTTGTTTCTGAAATAGAGTAGTTGGAAGAGTTGCTCATTTGATCATTTAGTCCTGAGAATGACTGAAAGAATATGTGGTGCCCTCAGAAGTATTTAATAGCTTTTTCAGTAATTATATAGTATTTTAAATTAGAAAATTGCAGATCTTGCTTCCAGCTTCGGAAGCCAGTAGATTGTGGTGATTGTCTTCGGATCACCGTATATTGGCAAGAATGAACCTTCTTCATTGACTAAATGTGTTGAAGGAGTAATGAAATATAGTGTGTTTTTAAGAATCTCAGTGTATTTCCCACAAAGAAGAATGTTATCACAGAACAGATTTCCTCCTGTTTGGGGAAATCTATGGGTTTGTGTGTTTTTGTTTTTTTTATGTGCTCCAGTCTTTATGCATTTTGCTAGATGAAGTCATTATCCTAGTAAGTTGGGGGTTTCTGTGTGTATGTGTGTAATTGGACACAGGCAGGGTAAAGGATTTCAGACACTTAGTAGCTAATTCTTTTTCCGATTGTGTAAACAGTAGTCAAGCAAGTAGTGCTTTTATAACTCATGTCAAAATATGTGTTAAGTAGCACTGTAGTGGAAAAACTAGCTTTTTGTTTGCATCTAGCCCCAAAAGGCTCCTTGTAATGGTTTTCAGAATAGAAAAAAATATAATCCAGGGGCTTCTCTAAATTTTCACTTCAGAGCCCACTTTGAACTTTCAGTAAGTTGCTGGAGAAACTGGCTTCTGTTCTTGATTCAAAAAGTGCTTACTGCACTCAAGTAAATTTTGAATAGCACCTTGAACCTCGCTGAAGCTACTGAGTCTGACCTTCTTTGAAGCAATAAATAAATTAATGTCTTCTGATCTTTAGAACATGGTTAATGTTATCTATCTGTTTTTCTCTACTCACTTCTGTAATACTACTGTGTAGAAGGAAACATACACAAGTGTAAGATGAATGTGTTTTTTCTCAGATTTTGTTGTTGTTGTCAGTCCATCCTGGAGGTTTGTAATGACGATTGTGTCTCCCACAATTTAACAGATAGTTTCATGTTGAATTGTCCCTTTGTTCTCTTACATTGCATCATACAAAATCAGAAAAGGAGGCTGCAGTAAACATCAGGAGGCCATTTGGTCTCTTCTTTTGTTAAAGGGCGGAATCAAATATATTTACAGTATTCCTGACAGTGGCCTGTTTTTGGAGGCCTTTGAGGATACACTGATGAAGGCAGCTGTATATCCTCCCAGGCAGTCAGTCTCAGCATTCATGTTTCTTACCATTAGGTTTTTTTAAATTGAACATTTTACAGTTTGGATTTCTTAGCATCTTCTGTTGCCAGATGTTTCCCTCAGTCTCCGAGTTAAGTAGCTGGCCAACAATTTCCTTGTCTTTCTCTTTCTTCTCATAAATGATAGTTGCTTTTCCTTTATACTCATTAATATTTATATTTCCATGTTGCAAATTGATGGTCTTCATTCTGCCTCTTTTTCTTGTGCTTTGCTGCTTTTCTGTCTTTCTTTCCAATAACCTGGTTTATTTCCAATTTCTCCAAATGGATCTATTACTGTCGTTGTTAGTGTTCTTTGCACTAGTGCCCATGTCCTTGGAGGAAATTTCCTTTCCTGTGAGGAGCTACTGACTTTTTCTTTCTTTTCTTGCTTCTCTTGTCTTCCAGAAAATCTTATGTATTAATGGTCTACATTTATCAAATTCTGTCTTTATAAATTTGGGATGGGGGTCTGGGGAGTGTTGCTATTCTCCCTTACTCCCCTTTGGAGGTTCATGAACTCTTGTCTTGACTTTCTTGTGTCTTACCAGATTTTTTTCCAGAATATATCTGATAAGCTACAACATCCTTGCACCACATTGTGTGCTTGTATGACAGTTGCCGAAAGGCACTTGCCAGATTTGTTTTGTTGTTGTTGACCAGCTCCATAATATCATCCCTCAAGTTTTCCCTTCCATTACAAACTAGATACTTTAAACATACCTACCCCCATCCTGTGTCTTGGAGCGTATGTACAGATGTCCTTGATAAAACTATCAGCATACATGTTCCGCCTCCTTCATTACTAAGCTGTGTTCTCTTATATTGAGTAATGTGAATTAGCTCACTGAATTGTGACATCTGGAAATGCCACGGCCTGGAGTATAACAAAGTTTAGAGTGCACCAGTTAGCAGGGAGGTTGCTTTCTGTGATTCTGAGTAAGGCTGGCCTTGCTTGTGCAAGGGATCGCAGTGTACTCTTCTAATGATAAACTTTAATTTCTCTTTTGGTTGGACTTGATGATCTTTGAGGTCTCTTCCAACCATAATGATTCTGTGATTTCTCTAGATGCTTCTAGTTTGAAACAGTATTATGTGAGGGTTTAGCGTTATTTGAAAGTGTAGTGTGGTCCCAAGTAAGATAGAGTAAGCTTTATGTTAAAAAATATAAATGTTAAAGTTTCTAGAATTTAGGAACGATAGCTTGTTCATTTGTGTAAAACAAAAAGGAATGCTGCCATTGCAACATCGCTTGTGTAGTCCCAAGTAAGATAGAGTAAGCTTTATGTTAAAAAATATAAATGTTAAAGTTTCTAGAATTTAGGAACGATAGCTTGTTCATTTGTGTAAAACAAAAAGGAAAACGCTGCCATTGCAACATCACTTGTGTAGAGTACTTCTGTGCATGTTGTAGCGTGGAAATCTTCGGAGCTGAAGTGGAAGCACTCTGGTCTTGCAAAGGGATGAGTGTGCCGACTTTCAGAGGGTCTGATCCTACAGCCCTGGGTGTCAGGTAACATTAGGGCTGTAGAGACTTTCTTCCCGTCTCTGGTTATAAAAGATGGTAGGTTAAATAGCTATAGTTAAAATGTCTGTCTAAATACCATTTTACCTCTCTGTTCATCAAGTTTAATCCTTTTCACTTCAAAGTCCTACAAGTTTTTTTATTACTTGAAGTCTTCAAGTGAAACCAAAAGAGTTCTCACTCATGTTTTGTAAAAGTAGAGAAATACTCTTGACCTCTTACCCTTCCTTTCCCCTATTCTTCCCACCTTCCTCCCCTTCCTTTTCTTCCCTATCCATAACAAGGAAGAGAAACTTTTCGTACTGCTTCTGATGGTACAGGAAAAAGAGACCGATGTATTCACACTTCTTGCCTTCTCCCCCACACCCCAACTTAAAGAATCCCTTCACTTTTTTTATTAATGTGCTGGTAAATAAAAGGCAGCTTGTATCCAGTCCTGCTTTATATTAAAAGAGGATATTTTTAACAGTGTTTTCTACATGATGTCAGTGTAAGTTATTGGCATGGTGACTCTTACTGTGATAGCTGACTGATTACTAAAATAGCTTGCACACTTTTGCTTTCAGTCTAAATATTTTCAGTAACACATAGCAAGCAGGTCAATAATTAGTTTAGGTGATTTTGATTGCAAAACATTAATGAGAAATATGCTTAGGGCACTGGTAAACATGGTTTATAAGATATTATTTTGATACTTTCTTTCAATGTTTATATAGGCCTATACCTTGTGACCTTCACGTGAAGTGCTCCAGTTCTCCAGAAGGTCTAACAGATTAATGCTTAAGTAAAGTACAGGGCTGTCCTAGTTTCTTCATTAATGAAAATAGTGTAACAGTAGCTGAAGTGACACATGGGACAGCACTCTGATCGGGTGACCCATGCTCCTGTGCTTCAGCCACACATTTTCTGGCTGCCCTTTCAGGTCAGTGTTTAGAGTGTTGGATACATGCATATATTTCAGTAGTCTGTCAAGGAGACAGACTATATATGTATGCCGCTTTTGATGATAGCCATTGTATACTAGGAAGGAATATTGGTTTAAATTCTTACTGTCTTCCAGCTGTCTCTTTAATTCAGTTTTGCAACTAAAAGTAGGGAAAAACAATATGTATGATGAGCTGGTTTTCATGGAGTAATGCCTGACAACCTCTATAGCAAATAACTGAAACAGTTGCCTGCGATTTAGATTAGAGCTGAGCAAGACTTTTCAATAAATAGTAAATTAGGCAATGACTGGATGGAAAGTTTATAGCCTTCAGGTTGCTTGTGAATTTGCTGTGGCACCTGTAAATAGTTTCAGATGGAAATATTTTTCAAGTGTCTGGCTCACAAACAAGCAAACAAAAAAATCACAAAATAAAGCCTGTTGTGAAAGAAAAATGATTAAGATATTTACAGATGCTTCTGAGGATCTGGATTTGGTTCCTTCTGCTTCTGTATTGTTTGAAACATCTTCCACCAACTTTCAGCTACTGAGCATTCGAAGTGCTCTGCATCACTGCTGTTGTTAACACTGTCAGCAGGGTATGCCAAAGGTTCCTGGCACCATGACGGGTAGCTGGATAACCCATCGGACAAGTACATTTCCAAGTGTCTCGTCAAGAGGTCTTACGCGCAAGGTCAGAGCTGTTTTGCTTTTTAATAAGATGCTTTACCCTAAACTGGGTAAGGGAACTACTTGAAGCTGATTGTTAGAGCCCTCCCAGGGAAGCACAGCATCTGGTTTAGTGAATGGTTTTTTTTAAACAAACAAACAACAACAAAAACACACCCCCAGCTTTCATACTAGATCAAAAGGGAACCAGAGTCAGAAAGGTGAGCATGCCCCACCCCAACATGCTTTCCCACTCCTGTGAGATACGTGGGTTCAAACTTCTTTAGGTAAAAAGAGGACTCAGATCTCCAGCATGCAGTGCATATCCTTGCTGTACGTGACTGGATAGAAGGGACTCCTAGCATCACATCTGCCGCCTCTTCTGCTTTTTCACTGAAGATTTTCTTTTCTGTTGTTCTCTTCTGTTTTCCTTCAAGTGCTTGGAGGTGCAAATTTTCATTTTAGGTCGGTGTGTGCGCTGCTCAATAAAACCCTCCTTTTTATTCTAACAAAAACAGATAACAGATGAAAATAAGGATTTTTTTTCAAGTTGAAAATGTATGTATTTACTTAGCTGTTCTTGACGTCGCTATCTGTGGAGTTTGGCACTTAGCGACAGATAACAGATGAAAATAAGGATTTTTTTCAAGTTGAAAATGTACGTATTTACTTAGCTGTTCTTGACGTTGCTATCTGTGGAGTTTGGCACTTAGCGTCAGATCTCAGATTTGCAGTTACGTTAGATGGCAAGTTTATTTGTGGGTTATTGGCTTTAAAACAGAAGAGCATTGCAGGCTTGGAGAAAATAGGCAAGCAGCTGAGACCAAGGATGCCAATAAAAAGCAAAAGAACATCCCTAGAAAGAAACAAATTCTTTTCTCTGCATAGCTTGTCTAGGTTCTATGAGCAGGTTTTCTGTTGTCTTTGTTTAGTGTAAGGCTAGAAATGCTCAGTAAAGTTTTGAAAGGCAGACTTGGACTTTATATTAGGCTGTGAGAATTAATCCTAAAATGTAGCAGTGTTTCTGGTTCATAAATGGAAGTGTTAATGCAAGTGCAAGATCCTCCTCTGTAATTCTGTATACATTTCTGGAGACTGATGTTCAAGAAGGTGAATTTAAACTGGAAAATGGTGTAGAGAAGACCTGTGATGGTCAGAATGGAAGGATCCCCTTTGAGAGGTAACTGAATGAGCACAACCCATTTTGCTCAGCAAAGTGAAGTCTGAAGAGGCATATGAATTCTTTCTGTAAGTACTTTGGGGACTAATAACCGGGAAGGGAAAAGAACTATTTAAACTAAAGGACAATGTTGGCACAAGAATAGCTAGGTACAAGCTGACTGGGAAAACATTTAGTCAGGAAATCGGAATGTTTCCAGAGGTTCTGAACTTCAGTGAGGTTTTAAGGCAACCTTCTAATTTTTCATTTTGGGGGTTTTGTCCCCATTAATTCTAGTAGTTTTTAAAATTGAGAATGTGGATCATTTATGAACAGTTATATAATTATTCCTTATGATAGCAGGAGCCCTGAAGTTCCCTTTCAGCCTTATTTCTTGATTCTTAAGAGTTAGAATCCTCTTGGGTCGCTGACTGCTCTGAACCTTTGGTCCCTATTACACTTGGAAGACATCTGTGATGGTAATTAAGAAAAGTAATTCTGTTCGGTAGGCTTATATCTTCTGTGTAGACATGCTGATACCTTTAGCGACTCCTAGGGAAGACGGAGACAAGTGTGGTGAAATACAGAAGTTGAAAGGTTCAAAAAGCATCTTTAGTCAGATTTTGTGATGCATAGCATATACGACTACCAGTGGTAGTTCATTTACCCAATGGATAGAGGTTTAAATTTAGTCCGAATGGTATGTTTATGCTACTACTACCACTCGTACAAAAGTATATGTATATAACCTTTACTTTTTCTGTTGGTACTCATTGACAAGGACCTTCAAAGCAGATGCAAATGTCTCAGTAATCTATTTGACATTCAGTGACGGTCTCTGGATGTTTTCTTCTATTGTCCTTTTAAAGTAGTAGTAACGATGCATCCTCGGAGGAATTCGTTTTGGCAAGAAAGTAAATGCATATATGTTTCCCTGAATTATAGTCCTCCACTGAGTGTATTACAGCTAATAAATCTCATAATCCAAAGATAAAGGTCAAGAGAATAGTCCTAAAGTCCAATTTGAATCTTATTCAGGCTTGTTTCTGTGCAAGGGGAGAGAGTGTCTTCAGTGCCATTGCAATCTATTAATTTTTTTGATACCGTTTAAGGGAGCTGAGATACCTTTCTTGAAAATGCCAGTAAAATGCCACTTGTTGATCTGAATGGGGAATAGTGTAATAACCTGCATTCTACTAAATGTTAGGTAATAGTCCCTTCTGGCTTTATGCTCTTCAGTTTTTATCATACAACTTTTTTTTTTTTAAAAAAAAAAAAAGAGGGGGGAAGGGGGTGGGCAAAATGAACTAAAATGAAATGTAAATCCAAAAGAAAGATATGACTTCAGCTTCCTCTTCTATTCATCGTCATTGAAAGAAGGGAACTTGTCCAGTTTAATCAAATCAGGAGGAAGTTGCAGGCGATAACAGCAGGTTTTGGAAAACTGAGAGGACTGGATGCTGCTGCATTGGTGCTGTAGAGACTGAGAGGCGTATTCTTTTCTGCCATCACATGATGAATAAGTTGTGCCACACCATACGAAGCAAATGGGATGGAAGGGGGAAAGGAATGCGGGCTATTCCTTGAGAGTCCAAAACCGGACACATAGCTATGTATATACCCCCAGTACAGTTATATCCATCTCTGTTACACTGTGCAGTGATTAGTGCAGTTGGGCAGTGACTGATCTACTCGTATAATAAAACTCTTAGCCTTAGTATATTTTAAGAATCTCAGCATAGCTAGAAAAGGAGTTTCTGTTCACAGAATAAGAGAAACTTGCAGATTATATTTTTACTGATCCTTCAGATGAGGAGTCAGGTAAGATGTAGTTATCAAAGGTTGTCTTGCAGTGTGGCATTGTTAATGTTAAAGTGCACTGTTGTAAATCAGCTCATTATTTGCAGCTGACAGTAGTAACAGAAGAAGATTCTTGTTTTTTGATGCAACCAGCTTGACTTTTTGTGAATTTTTGACTGCGTGATTCTGGATCTGCACATGTGTTAATTACGTCTGCTTTGTGATCTCCTCCTCAGATGCTAGGCTGAGGTAGGTTACTGCATGTTAGACTTCTTGGTCTTCATAGCAATGGCTATGGACTACATAGGAAGGACACTGTGTAGGAAACAGCTATAAAGAAAAGCAAGGTGAATGCAGCATGATTGTTTGTACCTGTATATAATGCTGAAGAGCAGTGCCTGATCACATAGCTTTGGAGAGAAATTGTTTGTGCATCCTTAACCGTGTGTGTGGTGGTTGCAGGTGCTCTAAATGTCAGAGATGCACCTTGCTTCTGTCAGCTTTAGTGCAGCATGGCTCTGGTCTTTGGATCAAGAATGATCTGTATTTATGCCTGAATGGCCTGACTTTCCACAAAAATTAATACCAGATTTACTTCAAGATTTAAGGGGGAGGTGCTCTGCAGCTGGGGCAGGCAGGGTGGGGTTGGTTGTTCTGCAGAAATGTGAACTTACTTGTGATCAAGAATATTCTGTGTCAAGTTGTTTAACTGAAATGCCTTTTTCTTAATTTTTTTTTTTTTTTAAGCCTGACAGTAAGGGAAAGTGCACTCTTGTCTGTACGATCCCCTTTGATTTGTCTCCTTTCTGGAAAAAAGTAAATTTTATGTGTTTTTATTCTCTGTATGTCCCTGTTCATCTCAGGATTAGGAGTCTTTGTTAGAGTTGAGAGGACTGGGTTATCCAGGAGCCATGTGCGCTCCTTTGAGAAATTCAAGTCTGTGTAGTTTTCTGGTGCTTGCATATTGATACAGTGCTCTAGAACTGCAAGGAGAATTTTGGTCCCCAAAGGTTGTAAGGTCTGTCTCTTTTGTGTTAACTTAGTGTATAGATTGGTCCCCAGTTGTTCCATAGTAGAAGTATTTCTTTGTAACTGTCACACTAATATAATTAAGGCATGTTCATCTTACCAGAGATTTTGCTCCACTCCTGTTCATTTTTGAGATTCTTAAGTACTAACTTGGGATTCATGGAGAAAATATCCTGTCCTGAAGCAGTTCTTTAAGTTTCGAGAGTGCTTCTAAATTTTCATGCCTTCCAAGGATTTCTGGTAGTTTCTTGCCAGCAGTGTTAAGGGCCAAAGTATTTGTGTTCAGGCGGAGGGGGTGGCTAGTGTAACAGGGCTATTTTTGCCTTCTATAAAGGGTTCCTTTTGTACTGACGTCTAAGGTGAGGCTTTTCCCATTCACAGGAGAAAGCTAATGGGTAACAGCAAGGGACACTGAGCATATCATATCTGTTACCAAGCAGTTTCATTCTGTCCATTAACTAATCCAATGATCTTATTTTTTATTATGTCACATGAGCAACATTTCTAGAACAGTCAAAAGAATCGCAAAGGACATTTTTAAATACTGTAGCCTGCTCAGATACAGTTATTTTAGAGATTTGGCCCCCCATTGCCCAAAATGGAACAGCACTGTTTCTGAAATTTCACACTGACTGTCAATATTGCCTCTGTGATCATGTGTTGTTTTTTTTTTTTTTCCCTAAAACAGCCCACTGTTTGTAACGTGGAAGATTGGCCGAGATAAACGATTGCGTGGATGCATAGGTACTTTTTCCGCCATGAACCTGCATTCAGGACTCAGGGAGTACACACTTACTAGGTAAGACTTTGTTATCTGTAGCTCTGAGTTATGTATTTAAATAGTCTACTGAGGAGATGATAGGTGTGCTTTGGTTCATTTTGGGTTTTTTGGCTGTGTCACTGTACTGATCAATGAAAACTTGTATCTCCTTTTGATGCTAAGCGTATTACCTGGTTATTTGACTACTGGTGTCATGAGGCTATGGTTTCAGTTAAAAACCATAACTTGAGCCTTTTTTCTTTTTATTGGTCTGGAAAACTACTCTCCAGTAGCTTATTGTAAGTGACTATTATAGTATTTTTTCCAGTGTTCAGACAAATTTTAACCGTAATAGTTAATGTCAGGGCAGAAGACCAGAAAGTCAGATTTGGGGATTATCCTATTCACACTTCTAAAACAGCAGGTATTCTCACCTCTTCTCCATCAGGTGCTTCCAATCAGCTGCAGTTAATTTAATGCTACAAATTTCCATTACATGTTACTCTTCAGATACATCCCAGCCCCTGAGTGGGAAGCTTCTGGATGAGGGAGGTAAGTGATGATAATCCTTCACTCCCTGGCAGCATAATCCTTCATTTTTTGATCTACACCTAAATTCATTCACCTTAATATTGTTCCATTTCCTTTGCATAGAGTGAAAACTAATAAGTTTATCACTAGAGCTGGTAGCAGCCTTTCTACTTGTTTTTTCTAAGAGTTTTCATAAGTTTATTTTCTAAAGAATAATTGGAATTTTGTTCCACTCAGTTACAATAGACTGTTGATAGTGCTTTAAAATAGAAACTACATTCTGGCATGTGTAGACCTCTAAAGTTGTCGTCACTTAAAATAATTGATGCCTCCAGGTCACTTTAGATTTGAGGCTTTCCTCCATTACAGGATCTTCCTTTTTGCTATTAAAATGCCTTGTCAATCCCAGTATTAAGTAATATTAAAATAGGACATGTTCCTCCTTATATGTCTCCCTAGTTTGTTGCAAGCTGAAGTTCGTTTCATGCTTCTCTACTTAGCTTGAAGGACTCAACTACTCATCTCCTGGAGTCCCTACAAACTTCTGAAACACCTAGTTACCTTTATTGTGTTGGTTTTATTTATTATGTGGTCTGGAATGTTTCCGGTTGTGTCTTTTAAAACCTCAGCAATCAATATGGTCAGTGAGAAACAGCTTATAATGAAACTCAAAGCAATTTCTCTGTTGAAGGTTAAAAGCCTTAAATTCTTAACTGTTAGTGAGCTAGACTGGAGGAAAAACAACTTGCCCCCTGCACTGGACAGTGTTTCATTTAAGTGTACACTTTACAGTGCCTGATCTAGAACAATGACCTTGTACAGAAAATTACCCAGTAAGACTAGAAAGAAGGTGATAGGCAAAGAAGTCGTCTTTGATGCTCACAGATTTTTTCCATTCTCACGAAGCAAATAGGGCTGTAGTCTTGGATACCTTTGAAAATGCTTACAAGATTCCTGTCACTGCGTTCTAACTCTGAAAACTGAAGTCAAAATATATGAAAAATGGTGCACATTAAAGGGAACTGAGTGATGGCCACACGCCGTGGAAGTTTATACTAGGCTATTCAGAGGATAGTTCAGTAATTTTCAAGATGATAGAAATGAAACTACATACCAGCCTATTTTTAAAAGATCTTTGTGAGATCATCAGTTGTTTAAAATAAAATATTATATTTAGTGGCATATTGGATTTTGTTACCTTTTATGGTGTCTATGGCATGAAAAGTGCTTCCTGTTGTTTTTTAAAATCTTCAGATATGACCACTGTAATGTAAAGTTCATATCTGAATGTACAAAAAAAGTAATTCCCTTCTATCAATTATTAATTTAAAAAAGAGAGAGAGGGTTACCTGTGATCAATTTCCTTCATGATGTTAGTCTTTTCAACTACAGAGCTTCCAGAGGAGAGCACTTGAGGAGTAACAGAAGCACCTTTGAAACGTCTATGAACTTTCAGAGTTTGAAGCTCCACAGGCCTCCCTAGGAGGGATCAGAAACTAGGACATTATAGCTTGATCCACCAGTATGTGGGCAATAGGCTCCTGCAAGAAGATATGACAATTCCTGAAAGAGGAAAAAAAAAAACCAACCTTCTTCAGGGAAGGCAAAAATCAATCAACAAAGTAGGTAGAATGAGAATGGACTCTCCACTTCAGAAAGAGGAACTTGACCAGACCTTTCAGTTGAGGATACAGGCAGGTATTCTTCTGACTTTATTTTACTTCGACACTGGGAGGCACTTTTCTTCAGTTACTCTGAAGATAGGGCATGGATAAACAAAACCAGGTTGTTTGTCCAGTTAATTCTTATCTTTTTCAGCACCTTCTTTGGAATTGTGGCCCAACTTTCAGTGAGTAAAATGATACAGAAGAACAGCTGTTCTTATATGCCCTGGTACTTAGCGATCAAAATATCCTCAATTTCTTTCACACATGATTTTATTACAAATACACTGAGTAGTGCTTAGGATCATGATAAATGAAATTTTCCTTAATTCTTAGTAGTGCTCTCTAGTTGTACTACGATAGTGTAGTTTCTTCAAAATAGCATAATGATAGTTCATCTAAGAATCTGAAGTGAACAATTTCATTCTTGGGACACCCACACTCCTCCAATTAAAAATACCTTTTTTGGGTCTATAAACAAAAATGGTGATGATGTCTGACCAAATAAGTTTGTTCCCCGTTTCAAGCTCTGTAGGTTGTTGTGCTGGTATTGCCAGTGTGTTCTAAACAGGAAATTTATGTAGAATGATTCATCATTAATTGGATGCATCTGCCTAAGTTGTGAGGAGGGATGAGAATACTCATAGTTAAAAATGCTAGTACTGTATTCCCAATAAAATCTACATGTCAGAATTCAATTTTCTCTGCAGTTATATTAGTGAAATGCAGGGGAAAGGAAATGTATTATTAAAATCTGCAGAACTTTATGAAAAGATAGATTTAGATTTAGTGATTTTTATATAACTTTACTAGGAGGTTAGTTGGATAAAAATCTAACCTTGTCCAAAATGTTGTACAGTATTCAATGTTGTATATTAGGACATAAGAAGCTTATTGTGAGCAAAATAGTCCTTTAGACTTGATGTGTTAATTGAATATCCCACCTGAATGTGTAAAAATAGACCAGTCCAGATTATGAAAAATACCTTGTGTTTTACAGCTCCTTCAAGAAAATACACTGAACTTGGAAGCAGGTTACCACAGAATTTCATAACAGGTTGATAAATTACTTTTTCATGTGTTCTGTTGAGCAGTAAGACTTGGATTTTGGCATTGAAATTCTAAACTCATGTTCTCTTACGCTTGAGATAATGAAATGGTTTCATTTATTCATTTTAGTTTAGTTTTTCTACCCATTTCATATAATTTGAAGTCACATTTTACACCTAGTGTATATAACAAGTATAGGTGTATAAATTAAGTTTTAACTCTGCGTTGGTTTATCCTATCAAGGCTGTGTATTGGGGAGGGAACTAGTAGAGAAGACACAGATAAAGGGAGATGTTATATGACAGAGCCTTCTGACATAGAAGAAAGCAGTGAAGAAAAATTGAAGTTCTCCAGGCCTTAAGTGGATTAACCTCGTGGCTGAAAACTGGATGTAAATTTTAAAATAGTATGTAACCCACCCTCCTCAACTAGCATAGGCCTGTCTCTACTGTCTATATGATGTAATCGGTCTTTTTGTTGTGTTGTACTTACCACTCCACCTGAGAGAAATGTGACTGGTGTCAGACATTCAGCCTAGATGTGGTTGATCAAGAAAAGAAAACAGAGGGAAGCTTGGGATGAGAGGCACAAGATTGAAGGAAATGAAACCTGCAACCTAGCTTTCTCATAGCTGAATTAGGGAGTAGATCCTGTATGCATATTTGGCTACCAGTGGCATCAACTACTGCTCTGTATTTGTGAGCAATTTCAAGAGTCTTAGTCCTTGTTGCAGCCATATTGCCTGCCTGTTCTCTGTGAAAAACATTGACCCTTTCCTCCTGCTCCACACAGTAAAGTTAATCATCCAGCTGCAAGTCTACAGTATGGTAAACTTATTTAAGGGGTAAACTTAAATATTGAATGACTGATCACATTAATATTGATGTTGGCCTTACTTACTAAAGACTAGATGCTAGTATTTGTGCAGACAGGGCAGCTTCCCTGTTGTATTTAGCTGAGGTTACTACTCTGTTTAATTCCTGTTTCTTTTTACTAATTATAGACTTGTTCAACTTTCCCTGTAATCAGCCCCCACAACTCAGTGCAAACTTCCCAAAGCCTTTGCTGTCAGGTACTGTTGCTATGGATGTAGATAGTCATTGCTGTTCATCCAGGGCAAAGCATAGTCATGTATCGGACTGCAGTTTTTGAACTGCAGAGTTGGGGGAATTATATATGGTTTTGACATTTGTTGTGACCTTCACTCTTCGCAGAAGTCATAGTCTGAATTAATTCCTGCAAATAGCATTTCATGTAATATTTCAGAGGATATTCCTTCTGTGTTGCCCAATGATAATACTTTGCAGGCCATCTTGTTTTGTGGCTTTGATTTATGGTAGACCACTGCTGAAAGTCAGCTTCTTTTATTCTATTACTACTCTGTGTGTGGTGGCCACCAATGAAAACTACCTGGTAATTGTGAGATGAAGCTTACACTATCACTTGGAAAATTAAACTCCGCAGAGAGCAATTGTAGACTCTTGACAGCCTGAAGTCAACAGTGTTATGCTATTCTTATATGTTTAACATAATCTTTAAAGCTGGGAAGCATCCTGTTGTTTCCTTTTCATTTGTACGTTTCTGTGAAGAGCAGGCATCTGGTGGTTGCCTCTGAGTTTTCAAGGTCATCTTCTTGAGGCAGAGGGCACAGAATTTCCCCCTACTAAAGGATCACCAGCAGCCGAGGGAGGATCTCAAGGTGAGAATAGGTGCTTAGGGAGATGTGTGGTAGCATGCTTCTGTGTGTAGTTGAGTGGGCGGACCACCAGTGTGTCCCACTGAGCATATGAGGAA